AAATATTTAAAGCATCTTATTTATAGTTTTGGAGTTGAAAGAAATAGGAGGGGAGGGAAGAAAACTAGTTTAGAAAGAGGTTGGGCATCAAACTGTTAAGAAAGAATGAGCATCCTTCACTAAATTAGGCATATCTCTCTGAACACTTAGAGTTTAGATGTGAGGTCACCACCATTGGAAAGTAGACTTCAAGGCTTCAGTTTAGACTCAAGAATCACCTAAAACCAAGTTTAGATGAGGAAGATATGCCCATTTGAAGTTGGGCCTGGAGAGAAGTCTTTTGGACCCTGCCGGGTCTATTTAGAACTAGCCGTACCTCATTTAGACCTAGCCGGATCTCAATGAAAGCTTTTCCAGACTTGCTTTTTAGGCTCGTTTGTGTGTTTTTGGGCCCAGCTGGGTCTCAATGGCGAGAAACAAGATAGCTGGCGGGAATTCGCTAACTATTACTTTTTGAAGATATTTTCGACCATTTTGGCTCAAATTCTATAAATAGACCCCCTGCATTCAGGATTGAAGGTTAGAAGATTTTCCTAAAGGCTTTGAATGGTATTGAGAGCTAAAACCATCTTCCTTCCTCCTTTGATCTTCAAACCTTCTTTAGCTATACATACACCATTAGAACTTGTTCTTGAAGCTTTTTGTTGAAGTTTCAAACCATATTTCATAAACTTGAGGGTGTTTGGAATAAAGTTTGTTAACTAAGAGCATCTTCTTTTTCAAGAGGTATAACTTTTGCATCTTCTTCCTTATTTCTCTTTTGCTTTTTTCCTCTCTTTTCCTTGCTATATACACTGTTTTTGGACTATTTTTGTGGACTGAAACTTGTGATTTAAAAGCTATCAAGGATGGAAGGGTTAACCAGCCTTTCTTAAACCTTATTCCAAGCTTATATCCTTGTGTTTCCCACTTATTTCTCTGCTTTTAGCCACTATTTTTGGGGCTATTTTTGGACTATTTTCAGAGGCTAAAATATGTAATTCGAAGTTGTAAAAAGTGGAGGGGTTAGCCATCCCTCCTTAGCCTTGCTTACTAGCTTTGTGCCTCCTTGCTTTTGGCTTTGTTTTATGCTCTTTTAAACATGTTTTAGCTATTATTTTTTGCATGTTAGGGACTGTTTTAGGGTTGTTTTAATTCATCTAAATAGTTAATGCTTTGAATATTTTGCTTGTTTTGTTGTAAGTCCTCATGCCTTCGGTTGTTTAGGCCCTAGACACAGAGTTACTCGGGTTGATAGCTTTCTTTACTTGGTTGTCATATCAAGAGTTTCATTGTAATAATCAACTTTGCATAATCATTTATGCGCCCTCCCTCCTTTCTTAGTTTTCCTTTTCTTTGAGAGTTGTTTTAACCGAGTGTTATTTAAACACGAGAAAGACACCTACAATGTTGAATGGTTTAATCTCTTTGGAGGTTCATTATCAAGGCATTACGTCTCTCTAATGTCGAAAACAACTTCTCATTTGGCGCTTCTCTCCTTTTAATGGACGTAACTCTCATTATCGGAAAAATTGATTAAGTAATGAAAAGGACTAATAAAAATTGACCTAAAATCAATGAAACCAACCCAAAGAAATTGTTTAGAATTGATTGGATTCGGTCAGACATTATGCCGAGTCCATTGCTTTGAGAATTGTCACTTATCAATTCATGATATTTTGATGAAACTTGAGGTGTGTCTATCTCCCTCTTTGAGCCTCCATGAAGAGAGGGAGAGGTGGTTGTCTTCATTGCATTTATCAATTGTTTTGTCCAAATTGTGTTCGACATGCCATCAACTTGTGCCTATTGACGGGTTCGGACTCGAGTTCACTCTTCTCTTGAGTTTCATGATAGAGGGGAGCAGAAGGGACAAATATGGTTTAAAGTTACTTTGTCTACACAGTTTTCACCCCAAAGCACAAAAACAGATTTTTGCAAGAAACTAGGGCACGACCGGCCTCATTTGGACCTAGTCGGGCCTCATTAGGGGCCGGCTGAGCTCCAATGTTTGGTAAAATAAAGTGTTTGGAAAAAATAGGAGGGCAGTGGCTAAGGATGAAATAAAGTAGTCTGGGTAGATAGAGCAGTTTCTGAACACAGTCTTCATCAACGCGTATACAATCTTCGTGCATTCTTATTGTTATTTATCTTAAATATAATTGTTGTAATTATGCTTGTTGTAATTGATTGTAATATTTATTGTTAATTTCATTGTTGTAATAATTTAGATAGTTGGTTAGTTATTACTTAGTATTCATTCGAATTTGTAATAGCTAGCTTAATCACCGGACACTTGGACACTCGGACATTGATTCAGACCCTCTTGCATTAGGGCAAATGTGTAATAAGCATGTATGTCTTCCAACTCCATTTCTTTCTCCTTTTTATTTACCTGCTTATGATGGTAGCATAGAGCATCATATTTACTTAGCATTTCCATGTTTGCATACACTCATCTCATGTATATTTAGGTTTGGCTCATCATACTAACCAATGTCGATTTTAAATTCATTGCTTAAATACGTGATTTATCACATGTCTTGAAGTGGACCACAATACCATGCTCATAGCGGAGCCTATAAAATTACATAATGTGTGTGTTGCATTAGTCATATGGCATTGTTTAGAAGCATGCATGTTTTCTAATAATTTTGCTTTGTTTGGCTTGCCCTAGAGTACTAGGTGAGCGTTTATTATTTTGGCATCTTGCATTGCATGTGATTGTTGCTATCTCTAGTATGCTTTCCATGAGGCTCATTGCTTAAATGATATACTTGTTTGAATGCCGGTGGATGAAGGCTAATTGCTGAAATTGAGATAAATTGATTAATGTACGAATTCACCTTTTCAATTGACGAGTGTCAAAAACAATTTTCAAACAAACATGAAAACAAATGTTCTAACTTTTTCAAATTAGTCTATACTTACGTGCATCACATAGTAAAGATATCCTAATAAACCGAAACAAGAGCATATAATGTAAATAAAAATCACATCATGATTAGTAGAGGCCGATCTTTGATCGAGTGAGAGAGGTGCTCAATTCATGACCTTTCCCTCTCATACCTAAGTTTCCGAGCCGAGACACTTTGGTGATAATGGACTAATGACCTTTGGCACGAGTCTCAGGTTTCCTAAATTTTTCAAAAATATTTAGGTAGCGACTTTGTAATCTGGCAAAGCAGTCCATTTTTGGCATTTTATTCAAAATCGATTTTCCAAAAAGAATTGCTAAATTTGGACTCTTTTTGTGTTTATCTATTTCACATTGTACTTGTGGAATCGATTTCAAAACCACAGGAGTTCAAACTGTAGGGCTAATCGTATCTAAAAGGAGCACGAAAAGCAAGCTACACCACTACTTCTTCAATTCCATCAAATCTGACTCTTCTGATCTCAAATCTGTCTTCATTTGTTACTGTCAAGCTGGATTCAACAAATTTTATCATCTGGAAAAGTCATATCTCTAACATTCTTCGAGCCACCAATCTTCTTGGCTATGTTGATGGTACTGTTTCTTGTCCTTCTTCTACAATCTTTGACGACACTGGTACAGAATCTACTAATCCAAAGTTTCTTTAATGGAATTTAATTGATGCACATCTATTGAGTTGTCTTATTGCTATATTATCTCCTTCCATTTACTCAACTATTCTTCAATTTCATTACTGTGCTGAAGTTTGGTCTGCACTTCATAAGAAATTCATTTCCCTTTCACGATCACATATTCATCAGCTCAAGAATAAATTGAACTATGTTGTTAAGAAATCTAATTCCATGGAGGAATATCTCTCAAAGATTAAAAAGATGGTTAATCAGTTGGCTCTTATATCAGTGGTTATTGATGATGAGGATCTTGTTTTGTTAACTTTGAATGGTCTTCTAGATGAGCTTGATGCCTTTAAAACTACTATCCGAGCTAGATCTGGTGTTATCTCAATGGAAGAATTGTCTTCTCTCTTTTGTTCTGAAGCAGTTCATATGGATGCAAAGACTAAGAAATTGTCAGAACCAACAGTTGCTTTCTCCTCAGTCAAAAGTTTTTCTACTCAATCTTCTACTCATTTTCAACCTAGAGGACATACTTTTGGTCAATCTAGAGGTCGAAACTCTTTTCGAGGTGGTAGAGAAAGTAGATTTTATAAAGGAAATGGTTGATTCTCTAGTAATTCTACTAGAGGCCGAGGAAGATATTCCCTCTCTCATTTTTAGTCTTCTCCAGTTTGTCAGATTTGTGGTAGAGTTGGTCACTTAGCTCTTGATTGCTGGCATCGAATGGACTCTCATTATCAGTTTTCTCATGCTATGCCTAATTCTACACCGAAAGCTTTTGTTGCCTCATCTTCTGATGCCTCTTCATCTGTTTTCGCAAGTCTATGGTATTTGGATTTTGCTGCTGCTGATCACACACTACAACAAAACTGAGTTTTTACGGCTCTACAATAAATGCAAGCCGTGATTTCTCACTTTTACGACTTGCTTTTTTTGCATGTCGTAAATAATTTCCCAACCACGACGTGTCTATTGTGTAGGCCGTAAATGTTAATAATGATATTTTTTTTACGACTTGCAATATTAGCCGTAAATAATAAAACTTTTTACGACGTGCATATGGCATGCCGTTAATACATCAACTATATACAACACACGTACACCAACCGTTAAAAATATTGAACATTTCACGACGCAAAAAAGTCAGTCGTTAAAAATATTATATTTTTTTTGATGCACAAAAAGTCAGCCGTTAAAATATACACTTTCCACGACACACATATACTAGCTGTTAAAAATATTTTTCTTTTCATGACATACAATTTATGTTGTAAATAGTATGACCAAAATAAAAATAGGCTCCAAAATAAAAATTTTGAGTGCCAAAAAAAAAAAAAAAAAAAAAAAAAAAAATCCAAAAAAAAAAAAGTCAAAATACATCTAATCAAAAGCAACGTTGAAGAAGGCTAGTTACTCTCTCCCTTCTCTCTTTCATTCTTTGTCTCTGCTTTTTCTTGAATGTATGACTATTCAATTTTAAAATTCTAGGGTTTCACTCTTGTTTTGTGTACTTGATTTGGCTAATGTTCAGTTTCCTTTCATCTTCATCCATTTAGGGCTACGTTCTTCATCGAGAAGGGTTCTACATTTCTTAGAAAGGGGTTTTTGGTCTAGATTTTCACTCGAGATTCAGAAAAGGCACAGAGAAGGGTTCGATGGGAGCAAATCTGCAGGAGCTCAGCCTCAATCTCTCTGAATCGTCTCATCGCATTGTACGCACAGAGAGAGAGAGAGAGAGAGAGAGAGAGAGAGTCAAAGGGAGGAGCAAAGCAGAGATACACTAACTGAAGAAGGGTATTTACCTGGTACACTACTTCATTTGATCAAAAGCATCACTGGTAAGATATTTTCTAAATCCATATACATATACACATAGTGAGAATTATATCTAAAACCCCCAAATGTTTCGCCGCTTGATTCCATTGATTGATATGTGAAAAATAAAAAAATGTTTGCTTCTTCAATTCTATACGATAATTATTCTTTGTACTGTGCATTTTAGGTGTTTGATTCTTTGTCTTTTGAATTTTTTTTTTCATAGAGAATATATCTTGAATGTTGTTAATTGTGTGTGTGTGTATGTGTGTTAGCAAAACCATAATCACACGCTCTGAATTTAATGTGCTCTGTGTTGTGAAAGGAGCAAATGAAAAAGATTTTACACTGGTGTTAGCTATCCGGGGCAAAGTTATTTCTTATAATGTCAAGTCCAAGACATTGAAGGAGCTTCATCATTTATCCACAGATGATCTTGATGATTGGGGAGCAAGTTGGTGTAATAATACTTATCAATTCATTGAAAGCCTATCACCTGTTTGATCATTATCCTACATGTTTCTACTTCTTTCTTCAGCAGATGGTATGTCCCTCAATAAACTTTTCTATATTTCTATCTGTTTAAGTATTTGTTATTGTTAGTTTCTTGGTCTGTGATGCTATGCTACTATTATCTTTTGATGTTTAGATTATGCTTTAAGCTTTCATTACAAATAGATTCCTCATTCATCAATTAAGGCTGAAATACCACTGATGTACATAGCATAGCTCCTGCAGTAATAGAGCATCACTGTGATTATCAATTTTGTTGCCTTTCCTTTTGGAATATTAATAATAGTCCAAGATGTGATAGGGCCTAGCTGGCATGATGTTCTCTACTGCATATATTATACTTCCATGTGTGTCTGTCTGTCTTTTTCTCGAAGTCTACAATTCAAATTGGTATTGTAGAGTACCACTTTATATAGATTACTAGTCACAAATCCAGAGGTGGAACTGTTTTGAAGGTGAAGTTTTCTTGTCTCCTCCGTTGATATCAGCAATCTCTTCATTACGAGTAAAGTTTGATGAATTATCTTGGTTTAACATGTTTGACAGTGCTATAAGAGTAGTGGTGCTATATTTCTGTGTTAATATTATTGTAGTATATTGTTTTAGGTCTGCAATTCAATTGCATGATACTGAACGTGTTGCATATCTCAATGCATTCAGTCACTTTCATGCACTAGCACACAATATTTACTTCTTAGCTAAAAAAATGTTTAGTTGTGTGGTCACATTGAACTTCAACATGTTCACATCAGGTACATGAGATGGCAATGGTTTCAGCTATTCAGGAAGCTCAGAAGGATAACCTTAGAAGTTTTAATGATTATATGATGACAGTTTTGGAGGTTAGTATGCCAGAATTGGCTCCATTATATCTTTAGTTCTTTTCCTCTGATTATATGATGACAGTTTTCTTCGATTTCTGGTTTGTTACTTTGGCAACCTATTATTTGACAATTACATTCAAAATTGCTTGCTCACTGACAAACATGATAAATACATATGAAGAGCTTTAAAACCAAGAGCTCCAATACCAAGTGAGGTGATCAGTTGTCCCAAAAGCTTAAGTAGTTGGTGGAATGGGCCCACCAAGGCATATCAAACTCTGATATACAACATTTCTTGCTTTTGTTTGAAGTTGTTTTATGATTGACATAACTGCACCCCTAGATAATGGTGTATTACTCCTCTCTCAGTTTTATTGGTGGTTAATATTTCCAATTCAGGTTTTTGAAGTGCGATGCGATACCAAAAATTACGGTGAAGAACTAGTTGGTTGCAAGATAAAAGTTTGGTGGCCATTGGACAATGTGTGAGTACTTTAAGAATCTTGATATTATGTTATCACTTTTGCGACATCCTTATTTCTCAAGATCTTTATGTTAATCTGACAGTGCACCCATCTTCTTATTGCTATGCAACATCTTATATCAAATAATATGGAAGACTACCTAGATTACTTATTTGAACTGGATATATGACCAGATCTTGAATTCATGCCAACTAACTTTGAGTTTTGTTTGTTTTCTATATACATATATATATATTATTTCCAATGACATTTGTGACATTACAATAAAATTTCTTGTAAAAGTTTTCTCATTGTTAAATTCTCTCTGCAGGTTTTAGGATGGCACTATTTATTCATTTGACTATACAGAAAAGGAGCATAGGGTGAGAACATTCTCATTGACTCATATATGCTTTTGTACATAGATTTCTTTTGCATGTTAAATTGCCAAAACCCATAAGGAGGCTTACTTCATCTATTCTTTATTTGTTTCTTGGGTATATCTTGGGTTAGTGTTAAATCAAAGTGTATAATAACTTTTTCCAGTCTTTGACTTGCGCTCTTTTGGGATTTTTCTCTTACTTGTGTATGTTATCAACTTGAACCTAATTGCTCCTGCCTCTGAAGTCATGAACTTTTGCTGCCCAATACCTGGCTATATCAACCAGTTTCCGCTTTTTCTTGAAGAAAAAAACTTGTTCAGGGTGCTATTATTTTTTTTGTAGATTTTGTATGCTGATGGTGATGAAGAAAAATTAATAAGATCATCGTTAAATGTTGCTTTTGATGTTGAAATACTGGGTGAGTAAAATGGCATCTTGATATCTGAGATTTTTTTTTTTTTTTTTTTTTTTTTTTTTTTTATGCATAGTTTTGGTGTTGTTCTAAAGATAATAGATGTCTTGAAGTTAAACAAATAAAATAGAAGTCTTCTAGGAATCCACATTTTGGTACTTGTGTTTTGGAATGGAAAACTTTCCCTTAAGAACACTAATTTTTTATTTTTTGTTTTGAACAGCCAAGAACACTAAATTCGGAAACCTGAATTTTTTTCTTATTAGGTTTCTTTTATAAGACAAAACATCAAATAATGTTAGGTGTGTACCTAATCTTTCCCCTCCCAAGCACATTAATGTGAATAGGTTGTTTTGTTTGTTTTAGTTTGTTCCATCACCATGTATTAGGTAAGTCTCTTTAATTTCTTTCAAATTTATGTGGGAAAAAAATTCAAAACAGCCACCACATTGTGAATTGCTATGGCGCTGTTTGGGAAGTGCCTAAAGAGGCTATTATAGCCTAAAAAATTTTTTTAGCCAAAAAGCCACTTTTGCAAACTTTTTCAAAAAAAAAAAAAAAAAAAAATAGGACTGCACAGCCGGCAGTGTAGGCACAGCCTACACTGTCAGCTTTGTCACTTGTTCCATCAATGAACATTTTACGATTTTACCCCTTCATAGCAATTTAAAAAAATATTTTTTTAGGGACAAATTTGTCATTTTAATTTCAAACATCATTTCAACACATTTTTTAATACAACAACTCAAATAAAATCCATCTCATCTTCCCAAACACAAAAACTAAAATAGCCTACTAAAATAGCTAAAAAGCCAAATAGCCTACTAAAATAGCCACTTCCCAAACGAGGCCTATATGTATGTTCTGTCTTTGCAAGTGGGATTACACTATATGGATGCTATATATCTAAGACATTGTGTGTGGAGTGTTGGAAGGTTTTGTGGGTTGAGTGTGGTGAGCCGTACATATTCTGGTTTGAGAGAGTGTTAGCTTCCAAAAAAAAAAAAAAGAAGGTTTTTTGCTGCTTAATCTCTTCCATATCTGATCTTTGCAGGTTGCCAAGCTGGCCTTATGGTAGGAATAGAGGGTGGAGTGACTGTGAGTCCAAAATTAGGCAGTGGAGGTATGTGAGACTAAGGGTAGAGTGAAGTAAGTTCCTATAATTCGAACTCTTCTATGCAGGTTTGTCTGGGCTATAACTTTCTTATGGAAAGGTTTTGGCCCTCGTATCTGTTTGGAGAAGTTGTTTGATTGTTCTTGGTATACACATTGTATAAGGAATTTTTTGTTGTGGGTTGAGTGATGGGAGTGCTATATTTTCAGAGTGTGTTGTTTTTTGGCTTACTGTTATCCTTTTATGTTGTTTCTCTCGTTAACCTGTTCCTTCATTCTGAGATGGGAGTGTTTGAGGGTTGAGCTTGTGAGACCATATATTGTGTGAGCCTTGTTGATACGTCTGTTATCACATCTGCTGTGATTTATTACAAGCTAACTGTTTTCTCTGTAGGTCTTGGAGCTGGTGCCGTGTGTGAGAGAGATGTTTGTTGTGGGTTGAGTGAATGAGAGGTCTACACTTTTGAAGTGGTTTTCTCTTATTCATTTTCTTATTCCTTTCTCTGCTCAGTGTGTTGAGCTTTGCATGTCTTTGTATCTTTATGGGGTTTGAGTTTGTGAGGTTCACATAGTGGTTTCTGCTACAGGTCTAAGCTCAGCTTCTTGTAGGTGGGCTTTTTCCATTCTGCTGCTGCTCAAAGATAGTGCTGGAGTGCTCATTATAGGCATGATGGGGGCTGTGCTATGTTATTTAAATTTTGGAGAATTTTTCAGAGGGCCAGGCTGGAAGAATGCGCCAATCTTTGAAGTAGTTCTCAGATAAGTTTATTGGTGTCCTTTTTAATGCTGATATTGTACATAGTTGGCCTTTTGGTTATCTATTTGAAGGATGTATTCAGTACAAGACTGCTATTCCTTATGGGCTGAATCTGGGATATATTGTATTATCTTTTGCTGTGTACTGTTGCTTTGAGTTTGCTGCTAGGCTGCTACTCTTCTACTCTGCTGAACAAATGCTGCATTGCTCTACTTTGTTGCTGATCCGCTATGCTGCCCTTTGTACTGTTGTGCTGCTATAGGCATTGCGTCTGTGCTCTGTGCTGCTGAGTAATAGTTGTTAGTTGGTTGGGAGTTTATGCTATCCATTGCGTTGTACTCATCTCTTGCTCTTCCACTATGCCGATCACCATCGCCGTCCAAAAAAAGGCACAGAAAGAGGCAGGAACTAGGAGTGGTTGGGTTGAGCATGTGGACTACAATTTTATTTTTTTGGCTCTGGTTTTCTGTTTCTTATAATTCTAGTGACATCTTCATTAATTACTGATTACATCATTTTCTGACTAGGGAAGTAGATTCTTTACTCAATTGCTTTTTAGAAATCCTTAAATTCATGGTTTATGGGGCCAATAGAAGTGTTACATTGCTGTCTATGTATATATATAATTTTTTTGGGGAGTAAAATCTTAACCGTGCTTGCTTTCTTATGTTATGTGCATCCAGAATTCATTATTGCAGATGCTAAGCACAGTACTTATGCCCTCACAATCATCTCAATCAGAAGATATTTACCTTTCTGTGCTATCTGGTGCTACCTATGGAAGTGCTATGGTGAGTGACCCCACAGTGTGTTCTCCTATGAAATTGGAATGGTATACCAACTTCCTTGTTTATATCCTTGTTTTTTAAATTATCTATTACTATTTTTGTTTTTGCAGCTTCATCATGTTGGTATGTCAGTTCAAATCTCTAGTAGCAATTTACCTATGCCACGATTGATTATCGGAGCTCTTCTCACAGGCCTTTTTACAAACAAATGGATGTAGTCATCTTTCATGTATCCCTTTTTAACACAAGACCTATCACGAATGAATGAAGTAAGGCATTAGTATTATTGAAGGAAACGTAAAGCACCACCAATTTGCTTATGAGATTTAATTGGTTATTTTCACTGGGGGAACTCTGTTAGTTAACCTTGATTTCTTGATCACATCTATGTCAATTAAGTATCCATGGGAATATTAGCTAATGTTGGTTGGTAGATGAGACGATAATGTTGTTAGGTAAAAATATAGTCAATATCATGGACAATATACATTGAAGGCCTGAAGTATGGCAGATGACAATGTTGTTACATGAAAATATAGTCAGCATCATGGACCATTTCCATTGATGTCTTGGGAGTATATTTGCATAAATCAATTCCATTGTTGATGTGGACTCAATTTAGGGAAAATTTTAGTTTTGCTATGTGTATGCTTTGGAAGTGCCTTCGGCACTGTGCTTATGGTTGACCATTGTAGGCATATGTTAATGAAATCTTGAACATAACCAATAGTTACGTATTTTTAAATGGATTTGGCATGGCTGCTAGATAGGACATATCTTTTTGTGGAAATTTGAATGGTCGTAGTAGGAAGTGGTTAAAGTTAATAGGAGAAGATGGGCCTTATCCTCTAATACCCATGGTCAACACATGATGTTTATAGTTTAAAACTTCTATTTCATGGGAGAAATCTATTTTCTAACCATTAATTTCAGCACTGAATAGTGATACTAATTTTTTTTTTCTTCTTTGATTTGATTTTAATTAAAGTTATGGTTTTACTAAAGAAATGTTCTCAAGTACTTAATTGAGGAGACATAGAATTCTTATGTTATCATGTAGGGTCTAAGCCATTGATTTGCATAGAAAAATGTTAATGATATACTATTTATATGTTTGAATAGCTAAGGGCCGCCATTGAGAAGAGTAGTGCTATTTTTGACAAAGAGAAAGCACAAGAGTGATAGTCAAAGCTATCTGGCGGTGTTGCTGTTTTCAAGGTAAATATTTACTAAATTTCTACTGTTGCATGTATTTTAATGACTTCATTGCAAGTCTTCTTTTTTCAGGTTAGAAGGGCTAGCAAGGCAGGAGTTGGAGAAAGGAAAGATTGGGTTACAGATGCTTTAAATGCAACAAGAGCAGCTACGGAAGAGGGAATTGTTCCAGATAATGGATAAACTTGTAAATAATATAGACTTTAATTTGACTTGGACTCTTTATGGGGCCATTAAATTATCTTATTAATTTTGGAAATGTTTTGTTGATGTTTTATAATTTCTCAATCATTTCTTAATACCTCAAGAAACCATTAAATTATCTTATTAATTTTGGAAATGTTTTGCTGATGTTTTATAATTTCTCAATCATTTCTTAATACCTCAAGAAATATTTTTGTCCTTGAGTTGTTGGTTTTTGTACTTATATGAAGTTTCCTTTGTCATGTAGACAAGAAATGCAACAGGGTTAGTTGCTCTAGCTATTGTCGCGGGTTTAGGTGCCTTAACACATACATTGGGCACTCTTGTCCCTGTGATAGGAGCAAATGGATTTGCTATAGCTGCAGCTGCAACTGCTATAGGAACTGTTGTCGGTAGTTTTAGATAATGTCTTAATAGTTGTCGATATGTTTAGAAAAATAGATTTGCATAGTTTTGGATGGTTTAAATTTTTTGTATGGTTTAGAACTTAAGGATATAGTTTTTAAATGTTTAGAATGTATAGACAATTATTGAATGTTTATAATTTATGGATATAGTTTCTTTTTGATGTTTTAAATAATATTTTGGTAGTTGATTGGTGTTTTGTGATATTTGTTTGTTATATTTGTTAGATTATACAAAATTTGTCAAATGGAACCTGTTGAATTTTAAAATAATAATAAAAAAAGCTGCATATTCTACGATATGCATAATAAGTCGTATTACATAATTTACGACGCGCTGTCAGCTTCGTTATTTGTCTCACCAATTAACGTCGTGCAAAAGTAGTCATAGAAAAGTAACGACGACGCACAAAATCTGCCGTTATATAGTTTTTAACGACGTACTATAGCATGTCGTAGAAAAAATAATAACGACGCGCAAAATCTGCCATTAAATAGTTTTTAAAGGCGTACGAAGCATGCCGTTGAAAGTGAATAACTTTCCATAACTGGTTATAATATGATGCGCGTTGCACGTCATAGAAGGGTTTTTACAGCGTGCATTGCGCGCCGTAAAAACCCTTTTGTTGTAGTGACATTACTAATGATTTGTCTAATCTTTCCTATTATCAACCATATTAAGGTACCAACCAAATTACTATTGGCGATGGAAATTCTGTGCCTATTGCTCATACTGGTAATGGAATTCTACCTACTCGTCACTATTCCTTCCAACTTGACAATGTTCTTCATTCACCATCTATTTCTTCCAATCTGGTTTCAGTTCAAAAACTTGCACAGGATAATCGTTGTGTTATTATTTTTTATACTTTTACCTTTGTGGTTCAGGACCAGTATACCAAGAAGGTTCTTCATAAGGGAACTAACATCAATGGTCTTTACCATTTTCTTCTACATGCTGTCCTTTCATCTGATCCATTTGTGTCACAAGCTTATATGACTACTTCTGCTACACCTAATCTTGATTCTGGTATTAACTAGCCCAATCGATTAAGACAACCTTTATCATTGAAATTTAATCATTTAAAGCATCATTTGAAGCTCAAATCTGTTAATTGTGTTAGTCAAGATTGTGTAGATTGTTGTGTTGCAGAAAGCCATAGGCTTCCTTTTCAATTGTCTAATTCAACTGTAAATAAGCCCTTTTTCTCTCATCCATAGTGATGTATGGGGCCCTTTCCATTCCTCTTCTTCTTTTAAGTACTATATCATTTTTATTGATGAATTCAGTAAGTTCACTTGGTTATATCCATTTTCTTACAAAAGTGAAGTCTATGACAAATTCCTAGAATTTAAAGCCTATGCTAAGAAACAATTTTGGACTGTTTAGATGGAGGTACTGAGTATTGTAATGCTAAAATGAAGAATTTTATTCTAACACAGTATTGTTCACTAACATTCTTGCCCATATACTCCACCTCAAAATGGCACTGCTGAAAGGAAGCAAAGACATATTACAGAGACAACTATCTCCTTACTTCATCACTTCTTTGTGCCTCTCAAATTCTGGTTTGAGGCTGTAGCTACAGCCACTTACTTGATTAACAGACTTCCTTCCACTCAATTGCATCACAAATCCCCTTTTGAAGTCTTCTTTCATCATGTTCCTAATTATTCTTTCCTAAAGGTGTTTTGTTGTCTTTGCTATCCTTGGCTCCAACCATACTCCTCGAATAAACTTCAGCCTAAATATCTTCTTTGTATCTTTCTTGGCTATCATCCATTTGCTAAAGGATACAGATGTTTTGACTCCACTTCAGGTAAAATTTTTCTTTCCAGACATGTCATCTTCAATGAGTCTATTTTTCCTTTTGCTACTGCTTCTTCTACCTTTTCTTCTCCTCTTATTTCCTTATCTCAGATTCAGTCTTTCTTTTGGTCCACTGTTTCTCCATCTCTCTATTCTTAGTCTTCTTCTTCTTCTACATTTGTTTCCTCTATGAGCCCTACTTTCTCCAATCCTGGTTCTGCTGCTGTCTCTCAATTTACTACTTATATTCAACATATCACGCAGTCTGCTACACCTATTTAGTCTCTTCCTATCCTTCCTACTCCTTTTATTCCTTTTGCTTCCTCTCCTGTCCCTATTCCATCTATTTCTATTCATTTACCTCTTCCTTCTCCTTCTTCCTCTACTTCTAATGTGCATCCTATGCTTACTCGATCGAAGTCTTCTTCTCAGTGTTTACTTCACACTCATCCTCAGTCTCCTCATCTTTATGCTGATATTGAACCCCTTTCTTATAAGGAAACTCTTCTTTCCCCTATTTGGCATAAGGCTATACAAGAAGAATTTGATGCTTTGCAAAAGCAGCATACCTGGTCATTGGTATCTTTACCTTCAGATAAAAATGTCATGGGTTGCAAATGGGTTTTCAGAGTTAAGAGGAATTTAGATAGGTCAATAGCTAGGCATAAAGCTCGACTTGTTGCTAAGAGATATCTTCAACAAGAAGGGGTGGACTTTCAAGAAACTTTTAGTCCAGTGGAAAAGCTTCCTACCATCAGAATTTTGCTTTGTTTAGCTCTTCACCATAACTGGTCATTAACGCAGTTAGACATTTCTAATGCTTTTTTTCATGGTATTCTAGAAGAAGACGTGTTTATGCTCTAGCCACCTGATTTTGTTAATTCAGTTCAACCTCAACATGTGTGTCATCTTAAGAAAGCTTTGTATGGTTTGAAATAGGCTCCCAAAGCCTGGTACTCCACATTTTCATCCTATCTTTTGTCTTGGGGCTTTCATAACAACAAGTGTGATTCTTTCTTGTTCATTCAGAGATTGGGCACTACACTTACTATTCTTTTAGTCTATGTTGATGATATATTGCTTATAGGCAATAATCCTTCCCATATTCAGCCATTTATCTCTCATACGCACACTGTTTTTTTTATGAAAGAATTAGGTGACCTGTCTTACTTTCTTGGCATTTCTATTTCTACCACACCTACAGGCTATGTCTTATCTCAAACCAAATATGCCAAGTTCCTTGTGTCAAGAGTCGTCACACGCTAATTCATGGCATTATGATGATTTTTGAAGCGTTGCAACCTTCCTCTTTGAGCTTACTCCATGACAAGAGGGAATGGGTGGTCTTATTCATTGCATTCATTGACTTTTTGTCCAAAATTGTGTCCGAGATCATCAAGCAATCAATTTGCTCATTGATGGCTTTGGAATCAATTTCAACCTTCTCTCAAGGCTTTCCTATGACAGAGAAGGAAGATGGGACAAACAGAGCTTGAAAACACTATGTCTGCACTAATTCACCTTAGAACACAAAAACAAAGTTTTGTACCAAATTGATGCACGGCCGGTCATCTATAGACCTGGTCGGCCATCAGTGCAGTTTTGCAGGAAAATAGAGCAATGGCTGAAGATGAAACATAGTAGGTTTGGATAGACAGAGTAGCTCTCAGGCGCTGTGCATGCAACCTTCATCCATCTTCACTTACGCCTTTGTCAAATGCGATTAATTGTTTCATTAGTGTTACGATTATTATAGTTGTAAATTAATCTTATTGTAAATTAGTATTGTTGTAGCCATTAGCTTAGTTAATTGGTATAGCTAGTTAAGTTGTAATAAAGTAGTTAATTAACTTAGTTAAGTTAATTATTATTCATTCACTCAATTTTGTAATAGTTAGTTAATTTGGACTTCCGGACATTGATTTGCACCCTCCTTTGTGAGGGATCAAATGTTGTAATAATGTGTATGTCTTCTAACCCTATGTATTTCTCTCTTTTATTTAATCACTTAAGATGGTTAGTTTAGAACATCACGTTTCATTAGCATTCTCATGTTTTGCATCTATTTGTCTTGCATGCATCCAAGGTTCAGCTCACCATACTAACCAAATGTTTAAATTCATTGCTTGAATATGTGCTTTATCGCATGTCTTGAATGAAATCATCTGCCATGTTCATAGCTAAGCCTATAAAATACATAATATGCGTGTTGCATTAGCCATAATCACATAAAATTAGAAACATGCATACTTTTCTAATTATTTTGTTTTGTTTTGGCTTGGAGTACTAGGTGAGTTTTTTTTTTTAGCATCTTGCATTGAGTGTTTGTGATGCCATGTTCAAAGCATGAATCCCATGAGGGTAAGTGCTTAATTGATATAATTGTTTGAATGCCTGTGGATGACGGCTAATTGCTTGAATTGGGGTAGTTTGATTAATGTTCCATTTTTAGCCCACTTTTTCAAGTGGCAAATTCACAAAATAATTTCAAAACAAAACATGAGATCAAATGTTCCAATTCTTGCAAGTTAGTCTATACTTGTGTGTACGTCACATAGTAATGTTAGGCTAATAATCGGAATAAGAGCATATAATGTAAATAAAAATCACATCATTGATTTTTCAATAAATGACAGACTAATGGCCTTTGGCACGAATCTCAGGTTTCCTAAACTTTTCAAAAATATTTAGGTGGTGACTCTGAAATCTGGCAAAGTAGCCCATTTTTGGCATTTGATTCAAACACCGATTTTCCAAAAAGAATTGTTGGATTTGGATTCTTTTTGTGTTTTCACTATTTCACATTACACTAGTGAAATCAGATTCAGAAACACAAGAGGAGTCTGAACTGCAGGGCTATTCGCCTTCCGAAAGAAACGGGGAAAGTCAAGCTACATCACCCTTGTGCAGGATTGCATGAAACCGCTTGATTG